CAGGGACTCCCCCGTTGACACGCCCACCAGCCTCGACGCAGCCACAGTCTACGGCAGAGGCGGTCGCAGAGTGCCTTACCCTCCTACTCGAACTGGCAGCCTGCATTCAGAGTTCAGAGGTAAACTTCCAGTAACTGAGCTGTAAGAAACTCACCTAGTTTACCCCCCAAGGTCTCCCCAGATCACACCAGCAAGCAGCCATGCTAGTCTTTCAAGCAGAGTTTACAAGTACGTACACCCCAGAGGACTCCAGAAGCAGTGTTAAAGCATTACAAAACCTCATTATTTTATTCCAGGTTTCTTTCTAGACCTCTGTAGCATTATTTTGTGCAGCCAATTGATTAACTGAGCAATGGCACCAACACAGCTTAAGGCCAGGTGAAAGCCACTCACGAAGCCGATGCCTTACGCTGCCTCGTGCCCTGCCCGTTGCTGCGTGCTCCAAGGAACAGCGGGTGCAGCTGTGTTCGGGAGAGCAGGGTGCATTTCCTCAACGTCCACTGTGTCACACTGCATGCATTTAACTGCTCTTATTATAACTGAACTCAACTATGCTGTTCGTTCTCAAGGATGACAGCGAGGATGCGAATGAGAGCGTGCACGCTCTTGCACCCGAGCTGCTAATCCCCACAGAGACAATCGACTGTGTGTAATGCTGAAGAATGTGCAAGTCCAGAAGATTTTCTGAGAATTTACTTAAGCCCTTCGCAGCCTGCCCTGGATTCAGGTACACTGCTTACAGTTTGAGAGGGAAACATCAAATTCAGTAACATAACTAGAATTTTTGGCTGATAACGCTGAGTTTTTAGTTACAGGAGTTTGTTACACTGCTGGTGTAGTGACAGAGGAAAGCGGGTCTGCGCCCGCTAACAGGGGTCATCTTCCCTGTTAAGAGATGTCTGAACAGCAAACAACTGGGCAGCCACTGGGATTCCAAACTGGGACATCAACAAGAGCAACTAGAATATATGCAATGTGTCTTGTCAAGGCCTTTAAAAAATGCAGTTTTATTTTGTAGTTAAGCCTGAGGTCTAGCTTAATAACTTCAATAAAAACTATTATGGAGCATTAAGGAATTTATAGTTTAAGTAAATTAATTCAACTAGTTCTATGAAGTTACCTCAATTGGCTGGTTTCCTCTCCCCTTCCTCCCTCTGATTTGCAGAAGTTGTGTGGCCTGTTCCATCGCACTTCTCTGCACGAGAGAGGCTGCACCCAGAGTTCCTCTCCGCAGTCGGACTCCTTTAACACCAATCTACACGTTAAAGAACAGACGCCTCTTCACTCCCAGGGTGCTCCCACCACAGCCCTTCACAGCAACGCCTGAGCTGCAAAGCCCAGGGAACAGCAGTGTAACCAGTGTCACTCACAAACTCGAATAAAGATGCCTGAAGTTGACAAAAGACAATCTTTAATTTTATAAATGTTCACCCAACTGATGAATCCAAACAGCTGTTTCAAAGTTCTTTCGAAATTCAACCGTTTTCAATGAAAGCACAAAACCCACTGCCACAGTTTCAGCCTGAAGCAGTTGCAAGTTTCACATAAACAAAAGCAGGCTTGGTTAATACAAGTAACTATGAAATAAGTATTAAGTACTGATCATTAAGTAGCCATGAAATGATTAAAGATACAGGAAGTTTCCTTCTACAGTATGACAGTCCTTCAAGGCACTAGAACACATCCACAGTTTTGACGAGGCGACCGATAACCAGCAGCCGCCACCAGCACTCTGGCGTTTTTTGGTTCATGTTTTAAAAAGAATGCAGCAAATCAGAGAGGGAATGTCTCTTGCAAGGCATCTCCTTGTAATGTCTAAGAACTAGAAATAAAAGTCTAACCGTGACATTAAAAAGATTATTTCCATAATACATGCACTTTAAATAACTAATGTTCTGCTGCTTACTCTTTTGGAATTGCTGCTAATACCATCTGTATTAGCAACAATTATGCTTCCTATGCAAGTTTCTGCGGTAATTAATTCCTTCCATCCAAGGTTTTGAAAACCATTGCTGAGACACAGATCATTAAACTTCTTCTGAATGGCTAGATCGCTTTCTCCGTGATGCACAAGTCACAACTTACACCGTTTTGCCACATCGTCAAAAGAAGCTTTTCCCTGTGAGGCCTGCGAGTTTTCCCACCTGGAGAGGAACCTTCCAAAAGGCCGAGAGTTTCCATTACAGAGCAGTGCTTTCCGTGTCATTGTCAATATCGAGCACGAGGTGGTTGTGCAGTTCTTTGCTCGCTGTCTCTGTAAGGAGCTCTGAAGAAGGGGTTTGAAGTGGTTCTTGAATACTGGAACTGGAGTCTGCACAAAAAACGAACAGCAAGTTTAGCAGCCTGGACAGCGGCATCTCCCTCA